AAAACATCAAAATTCAAGTATCTCATATTTTCATGTTTTGGACTATTTTGTAAAATGATTCTTAGTTTGTAGCATGTTTATTATCATGTCTACAATCATTCTCCAAAGTTTTATATTTTTTGAAATTTATTTGATATTTTTAAACAGTATTTTAAATCAGCATATCAATTTTCTGCATATCAGTTTTCGGTCGACCGCACCGGTCGACCGATCATTTGTTCATTTCTCACCATGCGACAGAGAGTTGGTCGGTTGACCGGTCCGGCCGACCGAAAGCTCCATCGGTCGACCGCACCGGTCGACCGACGATGGTCCAGGCTGATTCTTCGTATTTTTGCTCTCTGTCGGTCGACCGACGAAATTTCCGGTCGACCGACTATATGACCGTTGCTTTTTTTAACGGCTATTTCCTGAGCTGTTTGCTGGGCTGTTTTGTCATTTTGGTTTGGGGTTTTTTGTTGAGATCTTGAGTAGGTATAAATACCCAATTGCTGATCTCTTTTCAAGTATCTAAGAAGTTTTTAAAATAAGTTTTAAACAAGGGTTTAAAGTGTGTTTAAGGGTTTGTTTTTGTTTGTGAAGAAGTTTTCACAAGTGGAGGAGATCATCTTCTTGTTTGGGCTTCAATCTCCATCTCTCCATCTTGTTATTCAGAGAAGAATCTCTAAACTCATTTCTAGCTATTTATTATTTTGTTTATAATTTCTATATGCTAGATTTTAATTGAGTTTAGTTTTGATTTTGATTTCACTCGTTGTCTACACACACCCACTTGAGCTTATTGTATTTGCATTCATAATATATTAGGGTTGTGAGAGTTGTAACATTGAGTGTGGGCTTTTATTGTGTTCTCATCCATATTAGAGAACAATTTATATTTGTTACATTGTGAGTGTTGTAAGGTTTTCGGTGAGCTAGAAAACCGAGAGTGTGTTGTGAAGTTTTCGGTGAACTAGAAAACTGATTGTGAGGAGTGACGTTGATCGGTGAGCGTTGAAAACTGATACTGTGAGGTGTAAACGTTATTCGGGTGAACGTAGAAAACCCGGTTGTGATAGTGGATTTCTCCCCGGGAGTGGGGAGCGGAGACGTAGGACGGAAGGTCCGAACTCCGTGATCATATTGCTTTGTGATTGCATTGGCGTACTTATTTTTATGTTCATATCTTATATCGCCCTTGTATATTGCTTGTTGATCATATTGCCCACTATCTAGTTTAGTTTGTTTTACCCTTGTGTTAGTTTATATATCCTTGCTCATATACTTGTAATATCTCATTGATAGGATATATTCTTTTATTCATATTGCTCATCCTAGCTCATATACATTGTTGTATTTTATACTTGCTAGGATAACTTGTTAATATATTTTAATTGGCATTTAAATCGGATTAGATTAGCATAAGACCCTAATCACCCCCCTCTAGGGGTCTAACAATCTTCTGTTTGCCAATAAAAGCAAATGTAAAACAACTGATGCATAACTTTTCATTCACTACACTTACATTGTGTCCTTCATCTTCCTACGACTCATCAGAAGATCAGGATCCATACTGTAAGAACCAATGTTTTGCATCTAGGAAGCGAGGCACGGAGTTGGAACTTGTAATAAGAGTCAATGGAAAAGATTAGTGAGGAGTTGGAGCTTTTGTAATTTGTTATTCTGAGGGATCCATACTGTAAGAACCAATGTTTTGCATCTAGGAAGCTAGAGCAGCCTTTCTGCTGTTATAGACCAGAAAATTTTAGGCTTTGGTTTCCTTGGCTGGTCCAGATGCACGGGATTTGGGCGGTCATGCAAGCACACACCAAGCCCATATCTCTATGTTAGAACTATTCCACCCACATCATGTGCTCTAGCATCAAGGACGAGTTCCTTCAAATACTGAAAAAATATAATAATAAGTCCTCCATAAAATCATGATGGAAGAACTTGGAATACAACTTTACTTGCCAGACTTTTAAGCAGTTGAATTAGCAACCATTAATACCTAATCACAATATTTGTTAAATAGATAAAACACTAAAAGTTAATTGTTTCCTAACTTGATTAGTATATCCTTTGTGTTTCATAATACCCTGCAACTTATTTAACCTTTTAGTGATGTATCCATTTACATCCATTATTTTAAGGATTTGAACATATGTCTGCCAGCCTTATGTCAGTGTAAGCATGCATCATAGAACAAATAATGGGATTTTATCACCCTAATTTAGAGGGTTCAGATCATCAAGCTTACTTAGTGGAGATGCACAATACATTCTGATCAATCCACTTTTTAACAACTCTATTTACGAAGATTACAGAAATGGTAATTGGTTGAAGAAGTAGATTGGATAAGGCCACAATAAGGAAGTGTTATTTAGATGAAGAGGAAGTAAGGTAATAATTTACTTACTATGAGGTGCAATCCACCAAATATCTCTGGATTCAAAATAAGTGTAATAAGTGTAGATTTTGGGAGTTGATGGAGTGGAAACTCAAACTAGAAGAAGTAATGTTTTTGGGAATATGCATAAAGATTTATATCTATGAATTTTGCAATGTATGGAGAAATTTCTATATGTAATTATCCGAGGGTAGATGCTAAACATACAATTGCTGTGTTGCAATGTGAAAATTTCGATATTCTTTATCATTGATGAGGCCAAAAAAACATCTTTGCACTGAACTG